CACACCACTATCCTACACACACACCACTATCCTACACACACACACACACACACACACCCCGCACTCTCCTAAATCCTTAGACTTTCCAGCCAGGCCTTCAGGAGACACTACTTTCCCAACCCTTTCCCTAGAGCTACTCACAGTTCAATCTCTTCCTCCGAGAACTGATCCCCCATCCTCACTCTGGTATCAAATTCCATAATCCTGCGAGAGAACGGATTGGACGGCATCCGGATACGATGATGGAGAATGATGTCTCTGTAAGGAGAGATGTCATGATTCAGTTTCTGTCCCCTACTTCCTCCTGAGCATCTTATCCTACTCTGAGGCAGGGCAACCATAGGCCTTACCTCAAGACTCCTTCTCAGGACTATATTCCTATGGAGATCTAGGCTGACCATTCCACACTCACCATGCCCTATGAATAGGTCTAGACCTCTACCCAAATCCAACCTGATCACCAACTTGGCCCTCACCACTGCTTATGTAACACATACATACATCAAAATAGCAAAGAGGGGTAGGGATGGGGAGAGGACTCACATACTTATACACACATGCACACAGAGACACATTAACAGAGAGAAGCATTATTACATGCATTAACGTGGCATACACATACACACCCTTCCTACCTGAGCTCAGGTTTTGGCTTCCCTTCTCGGATATTTCTGCGAAACATGTTTCTGTAGCTCCCTGGTACAGGGAATTCCATGGCCTCCATCTGTTCACTATATACTTGCAATGGCCTGAGCTCTTCCTTCCATTGAAGGAGGATTTCTGGGAAAGAAAGGCTAATATTAGTGTCTCATCTTCCATAGCCCCTAGTCCTGAGTAAGGAGACACGACAATCACTTATTTCACCAAGTGTCAATGTCTAAGTGGCTAAGCCAACTTACCTGAAACAACATCAACAGATTTGTTGGATGGTCCACAATATAGGATGCACTTCTCCCCTTTGTCTTTCTTCTCCCCTTTCAAGGGCAATGGCGCAGTCTCAGGCTTCTCCTGGTTAAGCTTATGGAACCAGTATACAATATGGACCCCGACCACCGTCTTCCCAGTGCCTAGAGCCCCAGGAACAGGTGTTAGCAATGTGAGCCCATTCCTCCTCTATCCTGGCCTACATTCTCACTTCATCCTCATTCAGCTATTGATGATTTCCTCAAGGCTCCACACAGGAATCAAGTGACTGCATGCTCTGGTAGCAAAAATTACTAGATTTCAAATCAGAGGATCTTACTAGCTATGTGACTCTGGGAAAGCCATTTAACCTCTCTTTGACTATGTATAGGTTGAATCTTCCAGTGTTAGGTAGTGGCCTACAGTAGGTAGTGGCCTACAGTTAGGTAGTGGCCACAGGTAGTGGCCTGTACTGGCCACAAGCCATGGGGTAAGAAAAATAACTCCCTTCTAAGCATCTTACAAATCTTCCCAAGTCTGTTTTGCATGCAGTAAGGAGGGAATATGACAATTCTGTGTTATGTAGTCTTCCCAATACTCCCAGTTTCTGAACTCTGTCCAACCCCCTCATTTTATAGAGAAGAAAACTCCCCTGTTCCTACATGATGAGAACTGGAAAAGGAAAGATAACTATAGACATCCAGGTCATAGTTTTCCACATGCTCAACCTGAACCCAGAGATGAAAAAGAATTACAACCAAATCCTTCAAGTATAGCAGAAAGAACACTCAGAAAACATGTGTTCAAATCCTAGCAGTGCTACCTGTACGGTTTTGGGCAAACCATTTCAATTCAGTTTTCTCATTTTAAAAATGAAAGGGAATAAGGGATTGGCCTAAATTATATCAGCTCACTTCTCAGTCTAAACCTTTGATTCTATTAGCTTCCAAACTCAGAGGTTGCATTCAGGCTATCTTCCTATGCTCACCAGCCCAGTATGGTGGATCTGATGGCACTGGCCACCTCACTGGTCTAATGAAAGTTCTCCAGTGGGGAGCTTCACCCAAGGTCAATCCCTACCCAGTATGCACTAAAGGTTCTGCCTCACCTGGTGGCCCTTGGATGAGAGTAAAAGGCTTTTGAAGAGCCTCTAGCACAGCACTGTTCTGACTCTTATTGAGCCTGAATTTTCCTCGTGGGATGTCAAAGGTCTGACGCTTCAGGACACTGGACTTCATGGCCATGCAGGACACTGAAAAGACAGAACAGAGAATAAGAGGGAAATCTAGGGGTATGATTTTTTTTAATTAAATCAAGAGAGAGAAGAGGGGTTCATAGAAGGGATAAACGGTGCCAGAGGCTGGGATAAAGGGAAAGAAGATTTGAATGTGAGACAAGGGAGAAAGTAGAGCTAAAGTCAAGCCCTTGGGACCCTGTCCCAAGGTCCTTCTTCTACACCCTTCTCTGCCTGCCCATCTCCCTTACTATTCATGGACCACAAAGGGTCACAGGGGTACTGAGGAGCTAGGCATCCAAATGCCATTCTGTGACTGACCTTCCTTGATGGGCTGGCCTAAGGCAATGCCGGTGACAAGTGGTGAGGCATATTTCAGTTTCCAGATGGCTTCCTCTTTCCGGCTTGGGAGAAAAAAAAGAAGGATCCATGAGACAGCTCAGGGAAAGGGAAGAAGGGAAAACATAGGCAACTGCCACTTCAGAGAACTGCCTGGCAAGAGGGTTAATGAGGAACACAGAAAGACTTAGAGGCCCCAGACACAGGACCAAAAAGTCAAGGGGCTAGAAAGTACTTTGACCTCTCCAGACTAAATGGAACTTTGGCAAAGTGGCCTAAAAATAATCAGGATATAACAGCCCAACCCCTAATCTTCTAGGTTGAGGTGCTGCTTTCCCAGGGTGGGAGTACTGGCCCACCTCTGGTCACCTCTGTCCCAGTCACACACACACACCCCTCCACCACTACCATTCTGTGAGCACTTACATATCTGGCAGTAGTTTTGGGATAATCTCAATGGTGAAGCAAGCTCCCTTTCTGGTGACCTCCATAGGGATGCCATCCATGGCTACATGGTGCAGGGAAAAATGGATTCTCTGTCGCTCTTCTCTTCGGTCAACCTTTTTGGCATCCTGATCTATCTCATCTGTTAGCCCATGAGCCACCCAGGTATAGGTGTCAGGGTCTACATTCAAACAAGAGTCAAGAGTATTGACCATGGGTGGGTCTACTGCCTTCTTGCCCAAACTGAGCTTCCTAAAGCCTTGGCACAGAGCAGCCTCCTTTCCTTTCTCCTTTTCCTCCTCCTCTTCTACTGGACCCTGGAGTTTTAGGTTCTCCAACCGGATGCAGAGGTAGCAGAAATTGAAGTTGATATCAATTGCACATTCCTTAAGGAAGCTATAGGTTAAGCAGAAGGAACCTTGCATCTGTCCCTGGCTGTTCCGCTCTTGGTCCCAGGTAATGGGAACACCATGCAAGAGAATAGAGTCATTCTCAGCCACAGCACTAGAAGCTGACTCCATGGCACAGAGCGGTTCCCACACCCGGGAATATTCTTGTGCCTCAGAGTACACATCCTTGGCTGCCTGGGAAGCGTAGCGGGAAAAGCAGTCAATGGGTTTCTCAGCATGCTCCAGGCAAATGGCAAAACCTGGTGTCAACATCCACATCTGGATGGAGGGTACAAGGAAGCCCCTTTGGACATCAGTGGTCAGCTGCATCTGTAGTGCATCCCCAGTACTTAGCTCTAGGACCACCTCTACATAGTGGGAGCACTTGCTTCGAATCACCTGGCCTAGGGGCCGATGGTAGGCAGTCTGGGCAGCCCCTCTAGACCTAATGAGCAAGGCTGCTGCCTTCTGAAAGTTCTGGTTCTGGACAGCCACTAGCAGGTCCTGCCAGATGACACTGCTTACTGGCATGACATGTGTGTCCACCAGCGTTTTGGAGGATGGAGTCCATGCTTTGCCCTTATCCAGAGAGTACATTCGCCTCCTCCATACCAACTTTATGTTCTGACGCTCGAGGATGAAGGTGGGCTGCTCTACCAATTGCAGAGCACGATAATTGACAAGATGGGGGTCAGGCAGGGTATCCCGGTTCATGGGGAAAATCACCTTAAAAAAGCGGTTCGCAGATTCCACATTCACGACAAAGCACAACTTTGTCAGCAGCTGGGCCTTAAGCTGGGTGGCCAGGTGAAGGCAGTGGGCCTTGCGCTCATAAGCCTGCGCACGCCCATTTTTTCGGTTGAAGTCATGGCATAACAAGTCAATATCTTCAGGGGAATAGCCAGGCTGGCCCTGGCCCATGGCAGCATGGAGCTGCCGCTGGAGCACCACATCAATGTAGCGCCTTATGGGGGACGATGCCCAAGTGTACCAGTCCACCTGCAATGAGTAGTGTCCAGTCCTGGACAAGCTAGTAGAGTTTGAGCGGCTAAAGTAGGAACGGCTGAGCAGCTTTCGGAACTCCAGCCCAGCTGGGGCCAGAGTGGGGTGGATGTCATCTGTGGCAATGAGGTCCACCATCTTGTTATAGTCTTTGCTGTCAGCAGCCTGACACAGGTGGTCCCAAAGTGGACGCAGGATGCAAAGGTTGTGACCTGAGCTGGTTGCTCGGGAAGTACTGGTGGTCTGGCCAGAGAGACGGTAAGAGAGATGGAGGGACAGAGGGAGCAAGTGATTGTACTTTTCCTTTAGTTGAGCTATTTGCTGAGGATTGGGCTCAGCCTGGCACCTCAGTGGGGTGATCAACTTTGTGTTATCCTTGTGCACCAGGAATTCAGCTACATAGCTATTGAATAGGATCATAAGTTCCTGAACCATCTGGTGGGAGCTACGTGAACCAAGAGGGCTATCTTCATCTGGTTGGTCATAGTAGCAATCTCCCTGAAGGCGGCTTCGGCGGAGGACTTGGGAAAAGTGATAAGCAGCCACAACACAGCCTTCCACAGTGCCCAGCCGGAGAGGCAGCCTGGCCCCACCACCAGGATGACTTTTAATAATAACTTCAGCCTCCTCATAAGTCAGCTGGAGGTTGGAGCATATCATAGATGGCGTGATATGCCATTGTACTACTCGGTCACCTTCCTTCTCCACTGTAAGAATCAGGGAGATGGTTCGACGTTCTTGTTGGGGAAGGAGACTGAATAGGTCTTGGCTGAGCCTGGATGGGAGCATGGCCACAGGATCCTTTCCAGGAGCATAATATGTGGCACCTCGCTTCCTAGCCTCACGATCAAGTGCCCCATCTTTTGGCATGAAACTGGCCACATCAGATATATGGACAGCTATCTCATATTGGCTTCCCAGGTCCCGGACACTAATAGCATCATCCAGATCCCGGGAGCCCTGTGGGTCCACAGTGAAGGTTAAATAATCCCGGCAGTCCTTCCACTGTCCCCGGTGCAGACTAAGTTTATTGCAGCTGTGCTGGTTCACTTCCTTAATGACAGGAGTTGGGTATCTTCCATTGGCATTCAGAGAGTATTCCATGTCCAGAATCTTAAAACCTTGTTCTAAGGTCAAAGGCAAGGGAAGAATCTCAAGTATGATACCTAATGGATAATAGAACCTCTCTTTCCAGGAGATGATCTGTACACGAAAGAGCTGATTGCGCTTGGTCTCCTCTGTTATCTTCTCGTAGCTAATAAGTTTAATGTGTCCTCGTTGTAAACGGCGGATGGGAATAGTGTTGGGCTTATCCTTTAGCTCTGGTACAAAGATCTTGGTGACTGAAGGGTCAATGGGAATCATTACTCGGGGATCAAACTCATCCATCTTGCATATGAAGATGAGTTCACGGTCACCCCTTTCCAGTACACCTACCACTCGGCCCATGGGGCGCCAGGAATACCCCTGTTCCTCCAATTCTGGGGTCAGGATTTCCACTAGAACTTGGTCACCAGTGAAGGCCATACCACAGTTGGTGCGCCCTCTGATTTGAATAATGAGGGGTGGGGAGTCATCTATGGTGAAGGCAGATGCCTTCTCAAAGGCCTCCTTAATCAGTTCACATTTCCTATATATCTTGGGCTGCATGCGTAGATATTTCTGCAACACTGGCACAGGAAAGCTTAAATACTGTTGCCCTTGATGACGGGACCGTCCACCTGATGTCACATTCAGCAGCCCATCCTCCGTTACCGTCACTGCCACATTCTTGCTCTCATCCAGCAACTCCTGCAGGATGGGGTCATCAGCATTGAGTTCGGCATCAGACACCCACGAAGGAATGTCATTGTTATTGTCCTCCTCTTCTAATTGCTCTTCCCTGGGGACCTTCACAGGGTGCAGTCCTTTTTGCCAGGCCCAGCGCTGTCTGTGTGCCACATCTTGCTTAATTTGTTCCATAGTGAGGTCCACAGGGGACACGCTGTGCATCTCTACACACTCTTGAATGAAGTGCTTCCATACCTTGCTGCAACGTCCAAAAGAACAAAGGGCCACAGCATCACCCACAGCAACCACCTGTGACTGGGCCCTGGTCATCACTGTGTTCAGCACTCGGGCTTCACTGAAGAATTCCAGGTGGGGGACCGAGCTGCTGAGCAGGCTGTCCCGGGTGTGGACTGTGCTGAGGATGATCACTCGGAACTCTCGACCTAAGAGAACAGCCAGGACCAAAAAATCAGGACACAGCCAGAAGAGCAAAAGCAAGGGAAAAGGAAAGGGTGAGGCCAGGTGGGAACCCCGAATGGTCAAAGAGCCAGATCACCCTGGGAAGAATACTGGGTGGGGGCAGGCAAAGGAGGAACCTACCCTGGGGACCCTTTCCCATTATAGGGAAAAGAAGTAGCCAAGACCAGAGTTCTCAGACATTTGACTTTCAGCCCCTCTGGATAGTCTAGCTCTAAAGAAATCATGCATCTCTGTGCTGCTGCATGATGAAGATTACCAAGGTGCTTCACATCTATCATCAAGAACTATCCAGGTGGATGTGATCCAACAGAAAACTTCCCCACCCTACCACCTCCCACTCCTGGCCCTATACCCTAGGAGTCCTGACTCCCCCCACCCTTAGTGTGTGCTAAAGAAGATCACACATGCAATGTTGTATCTGTAGTCTGGCTGACCAAAGAGTCCTTACTGTAGTTACAAAGAGAACCTGACACTCAGCCTCTTTAAGTGTGCCTCTTCCCTTCCCTGAGAAGTTGCAACTAATAACTAATCATGGTCTTAGAAGAGATAGTAAAAATTTCTACACTGTTCTCCTATTCTATGAAGTTTGGATTCAGTCAAAGGGCCACACTTGAGGACCTAGAGAGCCACATGTGACCCCCACAGACATACACAAATACATAAATACATACATACATACATACAGTGACCTTTGAGGGACCCCTGCCCTTAATAAGTCTCCCTATCAAAGACTCTAGGAATTAGAAAACAGGGCCCCTCCACCGTCCATTGCCCAGGGGTTTGGCTGTAGTAACAGTGACTAGCAAATAAATAAGGTTCTAAATAGACAGCTAAGGTCACCTTAAACAGGGTACTCCATGCCCCCATCCTCACAGGACCTAAACATATTACCTCCTAGCTTTATGCTCCTGGCACTAGGCACCCACCTGGCAGATTTTCAAAATTCTCCACTGCTACTTCTCCCAGTTGTTTCTTCCTCAGTTCTTGCCTCAGTGTTTTTACCTAAAAAATAGACCAACAGGGGGACCAATTAGTGACTTCAGCCCAGAGTAAACAATATTCCTCAAGATCCCTACCCTGTATAACCAAGTTTAATACCAAGACCTCAGCCTCCAGACTTATTCCATCAGAATCAAATAGCACCATCCGGTGCCTTCACTGGGAGGAAGAATACATCATATATATACTCACTCTCCCTTTCCGAAACCATCCAGAACAATAAAAAGATTAAGCCACATTCCTCAGATCATCCCAGTTTACAAAATCCCACCTCCTCCATGAAGCCTTCATAGATTATTCAGAGAAAAAGTTAAGTTTCTATCAGCTTCTGTGCTAGATGATGGGTCTCACACACACACACACACACACACACACACACACAACCGCCCCTACTATTTCCAGTCTCCATTAGAAACACTGGTACCTGGTCCCAATATAGTATGATCACAAAGGACATGAGCTACTGCAATGTTTGCTAAAGACAATCATTGTACTACTTGTGCATTTTCCTATATTTCTCTCCAAGCCATAAGAATAAGGATAAATACTAGACCTGAGATTTCATTAGCATAGGAAACTCCCAGGTGAGAAAAGTCTCTACAAATATAAGTTGGCGCCTTCTCTTAGAGAGTGGTCTGAGAACTCTGAAAGAGTAAGTGACTTGCCCAGGGTCACATATCCAGGATAAGTTAGAGTCAGGACTTGAACCCAGGCTATTCTGCCTTCAAGGACTTCTCTCTATCCACTAGACTATGCTGCATCTGAGTATGTTTATCTGCGAACATATACTTGATGAAGATGAATCAGTGAGAGTGATGATAATGATGAAGGACCCCAGAGATCCCTTCTTTTCCAGGTAAAGGAGAAAAGTTTAGACCACAAAAGGGTCCAGAAATGATCATTACTCCCCAATCCATATGCAGGATACTTCTTGAGGATCCTGAGAAGAACTATGTGCCTCCTAGAGTGCCCAGTGGACATCTAGAATGGCTGTCATTTGGAGGTGGAGTTTAAATACAAAAGTCTGCCTGCCCATTGACAAACCAAGATTCTGTTTCTAATCCCTGCAGGAGAGAAAAGACAAAGATGGAAAGAGGGCCAATCACCTGAGAACCATGAGACACAACACAAATTTGCTTCAGATCAGGGCTATTCCATTGGTAGGCCCAGATACTATAGAATTCTTGCACCTTCTCAATCACCTCCACTATCTCGGCCCTGTTGAACCATGATGTCATTGTTATGTCTCTCTCAGGAGTACCAGCCACATGGCAAAACATGAGCGGATACTTGCATGGGTGGCCAGGGATCTGTCCACTAGCCTGAATAGGGTTGCCCTTAGCCACATAGAAATTCCTAGACACGAAGGAAATGATGGCTTCAGTGGAACGGTAATTTTCATGGAAGATGACCCTGCTCTGGGAAGCCAATTCATGAGTCTCCCGCTGGTAGTACTGGAATAGCCGATTGAGCAGTGTGTGATCAGCAGACTTCCTGGCCCCCACGCTGAAGAGTTTGGGGGTGATTTGCATGTGGTCCCCAGCCAGCACAATGCGAGTGTTCTGGGTGGCATAGGCCAGTGGAATTATCGCTTCACATTCTAACATCTGAGCAGCCTCATCAATGAGAATGTGGGAAAAAAAACCAGGTGACACACACAGGGAGTGGGATAAAGTAGTGGTCGTGATTATAATGCGGTGCTGCTTTAGTTTCTCCTGAGTTGGGAAACAGAAGGAGCGTCCATCATCTGAGAGGCAGCAATACTGCAGTGTGGTTGGGTCTGTCTGGCTGAGGAAGCTTTCAGTGTTTTTGACCCTCAGTGGCACAGCCTCAGGGTGTCCAGTTGTGACATAGGCGTGAAAGTACTCACGGATGTAGATGTCAGCAGCACTGTGGAAGAAAAACAGAAGAGGTTCAGGAGAATGGCTACAGGATTTCCTCAATTGCTTCAATTCAATTTAACAATTATTTCCTGCCTCTTACGTGCAAGGCACTATGCTAATTAATATTGGGTATACAAAAAAAAAATGTATCCCTTAAGGGGGTTACATTCTACCAGGAGATGCAAACTGTATAATGTTTTTAAAAAGAGGCAAAGGAGAGGTCCAAAGTGCTTAAATGAACATTTAAATTAAATTTAAATATTTTTAAAGTACTTAAGATAAATTTGCTAATCTGTTGAGAAACATTTAATAAATACTGTGCTAAGCATTTTTGTTCAGAGAAAGGAGAGAGGGACATGGAAAGAAAGAGATATGTAGGGATGGAGAGAGGCAGAGAGAGAGAGAGAGAGAAAGAGAGAGATAAAGAACTCCACTCTCAAAATTATTCAAAGGTATTAATCAAGTGCCAATTATCCATTTTCCATCATAAATATTTAATCCTAGGGTATCCCCAACCTACTGTCTAGGTAAACTCACAGGTGAGGGAATTACGCATGACACTTTTTAAGTTTAATATGCATTATTAACATTTTCTCCATAGATTTCTTAAGTCTAGACAAACAAAACAATAAATCAAGCCCTAATTTGTAGGGTGTACTGATTTCCAAGGTGTGAGTGCTTACACTGAAATTTTAATAATCAGTAACTTACCCCTGGTTTAAAGCTGGCTCCAGCACACCCCAAAAGAACCCACCACTATCAATCAATCTCTAACTGTAAAAATCCTTCATTTTGAGACCCATCTCATATTCTGCCTCCACCATGAACCTCCCACCCCGTGCTGACACCAATATCCAAGTGAAAGTAATCTTTCTCCTCCCTTTGCCCAATCACATTCTATCTTGTATCAGCCCTATTTATGTAATCTGGAGAAGCAAAGACTGGCGGAATACACGATCCCTGTCTTCAAATATTTGATGAGCTGCCACATGGAGGAGAGATTAGACTTAATTGACTTGACCCCAGAGGGCAGAAATAGGACCATAAGGGAGGGGAGTTACAAAAAGGATTTATTCGGAAAAACTTCCCAATGATTAGAACCATCTAAAAGCAGAATGACCTGTCTCAATCTCTCTGGAGATCTTTGGAGACTATAACCAGGTATATTACAGAAGGGATTCTTCATATCCATTCACATTAATCCAGATTAGATGGCCATTGAGGCCCCTCCAACTCCAAAATTCTGTGATTTTGACTCTGTATATGCTACTTGTAAACAAGAACATTGTCAGTTTTTATCTTTGTATTCCTAGGGTATCATCTGCTACTCTATAGTATAATACATGATACTACACTAGATCTCATGGGTACCTAGGAAATGTTAGTTGAATCGAGCCCCAATCCTGACCCAAAGAAAGCTGTATTTGCCCCTGCCCCAGCCCAGCTCACCTGTTGGTGTGGGTACAGATCAACACTTTTGTGTTGGGTTGTTTGATAACCTCTAGCGTGGCCATAGCTAGCGTGTATGTCTTGCCTGTCCCAAATGGGCCATAAATGAGCAGTGGAGGCACTCGACGTCGACTACCAGCTGTGCCTGTGATAAAAGAGATGGCCTGCTTCTGTTTTGGATTACCACGGAGCTCCTGGGGAGGTGGCCTCAAAGAAGGCAGAGAACAGGTAGGTACATCAGGTACCACCAGTCTGTCATCCTGAAGTGCATCAACGGCTTGGTGCCATAACCCAAATACAGTCTTGTCAATTTGAAACTGGATTTCCATGAGCTGTGTATCTTCATCCTTAAGTCCCAAGGCAGAGCAGCAGTGGGCTGGCAGCAGAAGCCACACATTCTGCTCCGAAGTGGCCTTGACTTCCACCCAAACCTCATACACACGATTGTCAGGGGCAGGGACAGGTGCCACGTAAGCAGTGCTAACAGCTCTACTTAGCAAATAGCCCTGGTCTGTGTCTGGTGTCAGGGAGCAAGGGATTGGAACCTTGGCGTACAATTCCCCAGGTGGTGCAAGCTTCATGCCCATTGCCAAGGTCTGCATCTTGGAGGTTAATGTGACTTCCACCTGAAGGTTCAGTCTGTGACAAAGGGATAAATAAGTTAGTGAGCGATCCCTCTTATAAACTTCTCCTCTGGATCCTCTCTAACCCATCCAGATCCCTCAAACTTAGCTGTATTTCTTTTCTGGTATTTCCTGATCTCTTCTGACTCCAATTATCCTGGGTCAAGGAGGGCATCGCGGGGAGACACGGCTCCCACGCCCTTAATTGCCACCTTCCTCTGCTCCCCGCTTCATGTCCTTCCCCCTCCCCCAGCCAGTGACTCCATCCCATGCTCACTTGGCCACCAGCTCCTGCCGAGCCTCCTCTTCTACATACAAGAATTGGTGCATCCTGTCCCGATAGTTGACTGGAGTTATGGGGATCTGGTCAGAGGCCATTGACTTGTAGTATTCTAGTTCCTGGGGGCTCACTTTGTACTTGGCTAGTAGCTTCATCTGTTCAGCCGTCCTAGCCGCACTGGGCACCACGCAACGATTTCCACTGTGCCAGCGTATCAACTCAAGAAGACAGTCGTGGTCCTGCGTACAGATGGGCAGGATCCCACGGGCTTCCCTCTGTCCCACTTGCACGTGTAGCTTCTGTACCAGGACGGGCCGACGTCCAAAGTCAAAAGCCACCCACTGCTGGTAGCTGCCAAAGGTGATACACTCCACCAGCACCTCCACCTGGAAGGTCATCGCTGCACCCTGCACGTGGAACCTTGAGCCTTGGGCGTAAAGCTGTCCTCGTGGCAGGCCGGGACTCACCAAGGAAAAGATTGCTCCCATCTGACGTCTGAGGAGGGCCACGTGCTGAAGCGGGTCCTAGAGAGGTGATGGGGAAAGATGTTGCGACATCAGCAGTTTGGCCCTCCTACCCCTAAACTCTCTCCCTCCATTTCTCCCAGTCCTCTTCATTCCCCCCAGAAGCCAGGCCAGGGTCTCAGACCACAGCTTTTCCTCTACCAGTTGCTCCAGATGACAGGATCCACTCTAGCCCCAGTCTTCTAGATCCCTCACTTCCTCAGTCATATTGGCATACCTCTGTGGGTCATCCTGCAACCCCATCATCTTGGTGACTGCTTCCACTGTTGTAAGGAGGGAGCTGAAACACTTCACATACGCCCCACTTCCCCAAACGGGTGTCACAAACCTTAGAACGGATGATAAATTTCCATCTGCATTGCGATTTCTTGTCCTCTACCCGGCATTGTAAGGGCTGGTCACAGTGCACAGTTACATCACGTATAGACTCGGACATCTGATGAGAGGCAGATGGGCACGGGAGGCTGTTAGCAGAAGGGATGCTACCCCAGCTCCCCATCCATGTCCATGAGATCACACCCAGGCCCTCCCCATTCTTCACCCCTCTTCTGAAGTCCTTCCTCAAAGTCACTAAGGCCTACTCACCACCAGCATTTCACGGCTGCAGTGCTGATATTCATGTAAAAGCCGGTCCTGGTAGGAGAGAAGTCCATCCTGCCGGGCTGATTCCTCTCTTATCTGGGCTGCCTGAGCCCGCACAATCCATTCCTGAAGCTCTTCCACGGAGTGTGCCTGGGTGCATCCATTTCCATACTCACAGATATCCTGCCTGATAGAATGAGAAATCCAAACATAGTAGTCAGCTGGATTATTACAGCAATAAAAGTCTTGCCCTATCCTTTTCCCATGCTGCTGAGGTAGTAACAAGGTCAGATGGAAAGCATATTAGATTTGGAATCAGAAGACCCTAGGGTGCAAATGACAACTCTGATACTCCTTATATGACTGAGCAAATCACATCATTTTGCCCCAGTTTTCACATCTATAAAATGAAATGACCTTGACGTAGAAAATCCCTTTCAACTTTAAATCTATGATCCTGTGAGCAAATCTTAGTGTCTGGTTTGGTGAGAGACAGGAACATGTAAAGGGAGTGACATCTATGGATTCTTCCCATAGGCTGGAGCCCTGAGTTTGGGGACTGAGAGCTAGTCCAATGGCCTACATGAAATGTAAGTTTTGACGAGAAAGGAAGGAAGGTAAGGAGTGGCTAAGATATCCAGTCCTTCCCCCAGAGAGGCCAAGCCTTGAGCAGCTGGGGCTGGGGACACTAAAAGGTGGTCTGCTTCCACATGCGATAGAACAGAAAGAACACTGAACTAAGTCAGGTACACAGAATTCCAAAACTGGATCTGACTCCTTACAATCACCTTTACCTGCATCACTTAAATCTCTGTGTCTGTTTCCTCTTCTCTTACCTCATAGAGCTGCTGAGATAATCAAATGAGATAAAGAGCTGAGAAAGCTCAAATCCCACTTTTAGCATACAGAAGGCCTTTCCTGGTGTCCCTTCCCCCTCCCCCCCCATCCCTTCACTGCCAGTGACTCCCTTCTGAAATTAGTTTCCATTTACACTCCACATGTCTGTGTATGTACATAGTTGTCTACATGTTATCTCCTCATTTGGAATGCAGGATACAAGCTCCTTCAGGACAAAGACTGTGATTTTGTCTTTTTCGTATCCCAAGCACTGCTCAGTGCCTGGCACATAGTGTTTAATATATGCTTGCTGATTAACTCACTGTAAGCCACGTACTGTACAGAAGTGGGGTACCATTATGGATCTAAGTCCAATCAATGTCCTCCATAAAGAAGTTTAGTATTTACTGATGAATGGAGAAGAAGAAGGGGAAAGATGGAAAGAGCTCCTTGAGTGGAGACACTAAGCACTAACTCCTTCTCTTCTCTCCCTATACAATGCCTAGCCTAGGGTTGGCCACACAATCCATGCTCAATAAATGTTTGCTAAATGAAGTGCTGCAGGGGAAGCTAGGTGGTGCAGTAGATAGAGCACCGACCCTGGAGTCAGAAGGATCTGAGTTCAAATCCAGCCTCAGATGCATAACACTTACTGGCTGTGTGACCCTGGGCAAGTCACTTAACCCCATTGCCTAGCCAAAAAAAAAAAAAAATGAAGTACTGCCTTTCCTGCCCCAGAAGCCTTACCTGCTGCAAAGTTTGAATTTGCGGAGCCCCATGGGGGGCGCTCGGTATTCCCACAGGGCCCCCTGGTCATAGGACACCATCTGTGTGTGCTCCAGGGTTGAGCAATGGTTCTCAAAACTCTCTTGGGAGTTGCAGGTCACGAGGCAGGCTCGGCAATATAGCTGAATCTGGGGTGAAGCAGATGGGCTCCCATTTCTACCACCATCCTCACCACTGGTCCGAGCCCCTGCTCCAGATTCCAGTGTGGCTGGAAGCTTAAGCAAGTCAGAGCGAGTCAGGTAGCCTATGGACTCAGCTTCCCACACAACCTTCTCCACATCACTGTGAGCATACTGACAGCGAACAACCCCATGCCGACATGGATGTCCTCGAGACACATACATACAATATTCCAGGAGGTGGTTTTGCCGGGGCAGAGGCCGGATCTCCACTAGCTGTTTCTTTCTAAGACCCTCACTTGTTATGTGTACGATAAGCAGGTTAGAGGCCCCATGCTGTGGGCACGGCAGATTTGGACCCCGGATGGTCACCTGTGGAGGGCAGTTCCGGAAGCAAGGCTTACAGAGTTCCTGAAAATAGCCTCCAAATTCAGCCCCTATTTCTTCAGCTGCAGTCAGGATCCTGGGAGTCCCTTGGTACAAGCTGCCCTGTACTTTAGCTTTCAGCCATAGTCTGGGGATATCATTTTCCCTCTCAAAAGTCCAAACCAGTGCTTCCTCTAAGCTTCGGGCAAATGTGCACTGGTTGTGGTGTTTCCTGCAGCCCATCCCAGCTTTGTAGTAGCGGCACACTTCATAACGTCTGGGCCGAGGGAAGCTCGGCCTGCGTCCAACCTTTCTCCATTCTTTATGCTCAGGTGCTCCCTTGGCCCTTGCCAGGAGGATCTCACGGGGGCAATTGTGTTCTATGGAATCCCATATATACGTGCTCTCATTCAATGGCTTCGAGCAGACTGAGCAGCCCACACGTAGGTCCAGTTGGCTCTGGAGCTGGTTCAGTGGGCCCTGGAGCCGAGCCAGAAGCCTCTTTTTGAATGACGGCATCTCCCTCCACAGGACACTTGAACTAGATATAAAATATCCAATGACTCCAGCTAAAGGTGCTTCAGGTGCCCCAAACACTGGGTCAGTTTGCAGCAGGCACAGCAAGGTCCTCGAGGTAGCTGGACCTCAGGATCAGTTCATCCTCCAACTCATGTCCTGAACTCAGAACCCTAGGGAGATGGGAATAGTCATCACTCTGAACTGGGGATTGGAAGGGGAGAGGGACAGAAGAGATGGCTCCTTCCAGGCAAGGACAGCCATTTGCTCCACCAGGAAAAAGAAAGAAGCATGGCCCTGCCCTAGAGAAGCCCCCAGTATAATGTGGGATAAAATCTAAATACAAGCAAAGCTTTAGAACTCACAGGGGAAAACATGGAAATAAACATCTAACTAATTACTGCTGTGGGTACAGGACAAAAAGTAAAAGCAATAACCACAAGGACAAGGTGACCAGAGGTAGGTGAGGTTCATTTTGAAAGACCACACTTCAAAGAGAAGGTAAGTTTGGAGCAGAATGCGGAAAGATAGATGGACATGGTTTTGTGAATGAGAAGGGAAGCTTTAGGTTTTGGTACTTTTCCAAGTGGAAGAAAATAATTTCCTCTTTTACTCATCTACAAAAACCAAATGACAAAATCCTGGCAGCCTGTCCATCCTACAAACACTTTTTCCTTACTGTGAACACTGAAATGTCACCCAGGCCTCACAGGGCAGGAGCTCATAGGGCAGGACCAGCTTGAGATGTGGAAAGGGAGATTCCTATGATGACCACTCTACCCTGGAGAGGCAGAAACGTAGGAAAACTGGCAGACACAGAGCTCTCTAATCACAGTTGGGGAGAAGCCTATGGGCTCTTCCTTCCATCCCCATGCCAACTCCTTAAGGTCACTTCTTCCTAGAGGTAGAGATGCTCCAGAGTGGCAGGATGGCCCCTGATTGGGAGAGATTATCACCATCACCATCATCACCATCACCCAAAACCTCCACAAAGATTTCACAAGGACACAGCAACTTTATACAAAAATTTCTTTGGGGACTAATATTCAGTGAGCTCTTCCTCATTTTGGTCTTCCAAGGCTTAAGAGACTTAACATCTGACTCCACCAACCAGTAAACTGAGTACCTTTTTGAGCTTCATCTGCATCCAGTACTGCTGAGCTCCCACAAAAACATTTCCATTTAGGGGTGAGATAAGGGGTAGGAGGAAAGCAAAATCTGTGACCTTTGGGAACCCTGCAGATGAGCGGATTCCACCTGGCCTCAGGACACAGGATTTCATCACAGTAAGTTCTCCCTCTCTTCCCCCACCCCACATGACTGAGATAGATCAGGAGAAGCAGGTGGGGTGGAGAGGAGGAAAAGCAAGCTGGACAGCTTTGGAGATTCTCAAGGAATAGGCCATTGCATGGGGAAGGAAAGCAAAGACTGGATGTTGACCTCTGCCTCTGCACCCAGAGGTACAGATTGGACAGGCTAGAACTCTAAGGGTTCCCTCCTAACCATATTCCTATCTCTCTAACTCCTGAGGTCTGATTTTCCCAAATAATAAAATAAGCCTTTGGTTTACCTCATGTGCCTCAGTTTTCCTACCTGTATAATAGAAAATCATATTACTTTGGCTTTTGAGTAACTGGAATCAACGTCCCAGAGAAATAAATCATCCCCTAGACAAACCACAACCTCCTTCTCCTTTCTCTTTCCATTTCTATATTAAGCAGACCCACAGGAACATATGTGCATTAAGTCAGGTAAGTACAGTTACAGTATTTCACTCACTACACTCTAAACCTTTTAATCCTGCTCTCCCCTTCACCCTCTCAGTTGAGGAGGTTGCCTCATACTTCCCCTACAAAATATTGAACCCATTCATAGGAGCTTCTTCTTCCTTTCTCATCTCATTCGACTCATAAATCTTCCACTATCTCATCCTTCACCCCTGCCTCAAGGGATTCCCCTTCTCCTTGCTATGACAAAGCCCTCAACATGTACCCTTGATCCCAACTCCTCCCTTCACCATCAGACTGCCCCTTCTCTTATCCCTACTCTTTTACTAATCTATCTCCCCCATCTCCCTATTCCTTCCTATAGATTCACCCATGTCTCCCCCATCCTTAAAAAAAAAGTCCTCATTATCCTACCTACAATACCCATGATAGCTACCATCCTATCTTTTCTCCTTTTAGTGTCTAAATTTCTTGAGAAGGCAGTTTACAGAAAGGACCCATATGTACAAAAATATTCATAGCAGCTCTTTTTGTAGCAGCAAAGAATTGGAAATTGAGGAGATACCCTTCAACTGGGGAATGTCTGAACAAGGTGTAGGATATAACTATGATGAAATACTGTTGTACTTTAATAAATAATGAAGAGGATAGCTTTAGAAAAGTCTGGGAAGACTCATTTGAGCTAATGCAAAGTGAAATGAGCAGAACTGGGAGAACACAGTAGGCAGTAATGGCAATATTGTAATGATAATCAACTGTGAAAGACTTAGCTACCCTGATCAATACAATGATCCGCAGCAGTTCCAAAGAAATCATGATGAAAGATGCTATCCACCTCCAGAACAAGAACTGATAAACTCTAAGTGCAGATTGAAGCATATTTTTCTCACTTTCAAAAAAAAAAAAAAAGGAGGACGAAGAAGTTTATACTAGCTACCTCTACTTCCTCTTCTCTCACTCTCTTCTAACTACTTGCAGTCTGGTTTTCAACTGAAACAACTCTCTCTAAAGTTACCAGAGATCTTTTAATTGACAAATCTAATGATCTTTTCCCAATCCTCATCCTTCTTGTATTCTCTGCAATATATGATACTGTTGATCACCTCCTCTTGGATACTCATCCCTCTCTGAGTTTTCATGACATTACTCTCTCCTGATTCTCCTCGTGCCTATATGACCACTCCTTCTCAGTCTTCTTTGAAGTATCTTCATCCAGGTGATGTCCACTAATCATGGGTGTCCCAAGGGTCTATCTTGGGCTCTCTTATCTTCTACCTCTATACTATTTTACTTGGGGATCTCTCATCAGCTACCATGGATTCAATTAGTATCTCTACTATACAATGATCCTAAGATCTACTTATCCAGGCCTAACCTCTCTCCAACTACCTATTGTACATCTCAAAATTGGATGTCCTATAGACGTCTTAAACTCAAAAACCAGAACTTAGTATCTTTCTCCCTACCCCCAAAATACCTACCAATATCCCATCTGTTGTCAAGTCCTATAGATTCTACATCGGTAACATCTTTAATATATGTCTTCTTCTTTCCACTCACATAGCCACCATACTGATATACTTCATGCCTGGATTATGGCAAAAACAGACTGCTGGTTGGTTTCTCTGCCTCAAGTCTCTCCCTACTCTGGTCCATCCTCTCTACTCAGTTGTCAAACTGATCTTTCTAAAGAACCCCCAACTCCCATTTCAATAAACTCCAGTGGCTCCCTGTTCCTTTCAGGATCAAACATAAAGGCTTCCATTTGACTTTTAAAGACCTTCACGACCTGGTCCTCTCCTACCTTTCCAGTCTTACTCCCACATACTCTATGATCCAGAGACATTGGCCTCTTTGGTGTTCCTAGAACAAGACACTCTATCCCCCAACTCAGTTAATTTTCACTAGCAGTTCCCATGCCTAGAATTCTCTATTTCCTTATGGCTTCCTTCAAGTCTAAATGAAAATCCTACCTTCTGCAGACAGCCTTTGCTGAATCTCCTTAATGCTAATGTTTCTCTCTGTTATCTCCTCCAATTTACCTTATACATATCTTATTAATAAATAGTTGTTTGCATGTTATCTCTCCCCCATAAGAATGTGAACTACTTGAGGGTACGGGCTGGTTTTTGCCTCTTAATATCACCAATGCATCAGAGTGCTTCACACCTAAGTAAGTAATTAATGCCTGTTGATTTAATTTAACAATCAACAAATATTTATTAAGTGTCAACTATCTACTGATTGATTAGCAGGTGGGAAGAGTTTTGGAGGGGAGAAAAAAAAGAGGGGCACAAATTAATCAATAACACAAAATTAAAACACACCAAGTAATATACTCAGACTCAGTCAAAGTGGTTGTGGCCACCTCTCCAGATCCGGGAAGCCATTCAGATCCTCCCTATTGCTCACAAGCAAAATCAATGAAGGAACCAATGGGACTTCAGGATTGTTTGTCCTGGAAATGTTACATTTTTTTTTTTTTATCTAAAGTGAGTGTTGCTGGATGTTGGGTTTTTTGGTTTTTTTTTTTTTAAAGAAACCCTTGGAAGGGTAAATAAAAGATCAATGAAAAAAGTATTCATAACACTGAAGTTCATTCCCCAAACAAAAACTCTTTTTCCAGATTGACAGAAGAGGGTCAGTCCTCTGAGAGAATGCAAACAGACTGAAGAGCCTTAACCAGACTTGGTAGGGCTCTGGATGACACAACCCAAGGAGACATTAATTCACTTCAGCCAGGTCCCCAAATCCTCAAGAGGACCAGTCGTCTCCCTCCAGGGCTTCTAGCTATAGTCTCCTCCCATCAATACTCTCCTTTTTTTCTCACCACAACTCCCAGGGCCCAATAGCCTGATGCCTCCCTCAAAGGGTGGCAAGACTCTCAGTCAAAAGAACTATTCCTCTGCTCCCCTCTACTCTGCAGGTGGGCAGGTTTCTCTCTGGCTCCAAGGATTTCTCTCCTGCTTATAGGCCAGGGGTCTTGGTGCTGACTCAAAAGCACCACCAAGGGCAGGAACACCCATTATTCTCTCTGAGGCCAGAACCCTGCCAAGTGCCCAAGGACTCAGCTCACAACTACTGCTCTTTCCCTCTCCCCTAAGGCAGGTTCCCCAAGCCTCACTCGGGGTGTCTTTTAAGCCGGGCCTCCCGGTGAGTCAGCAGAGGTACCTCTCAGGTCAGGCAAGGCCAAAGCCCCGACTATTTCTTTCCCAAGGCTCCGGAGTCGGAGAACCCCAGAACGCTGCCTCGGGGTTCTTAGGCTTCAGCTTACCTACACTTAAACTACAATCAACTCTGGCTCCCCCACCTAAAAGGTTTCAGGAACAGGAATAGACCACCTCCAGTTGTGGGCTTTACCCATCTCCAGTCCCTCTGTCAGCAGCCCTTAACAAATAGCAATCGCTCCTTCATCACTCCCTTGAAATTGAGAAGAAACGCCTGAAAGGAGAGAAAGGTAGGTACTGAGGATATATTGACATAGCCGAGAGGGGAAGACTAGAAGAAAATAAAAACGAGATATGAGAGAAAAAGAACTGGGGAGCCGCAAAGGTGCACTGACACCTCAGCCGCTGTGTGACTCCAGTCCAGCCTCCCTGATTATCTGTGTGTGCTGTGCCTTAGCTTCTTCCTCTAATGTGGAGAGAATGATAGCTTCCCCCAACCAAAGAACAGAGGCCGGGGCTCTAGGAATAATGGCTGGAGGTGTCCCCCTCATTCCCAGCCCTACTGCATCCCAATCCATCCCCTCCTGGGTCTGGGTCTCGCGGGGACAGGGATCCTGGCCCATTCCAAGCAAAAGCAACAGCCTAGGACCCCCGGTTTGTTCCCTTGGGACTCAAGAAAGTCTGGGGCTGGAATCCCAATGCAACGTCTGTCCAGAGGAAGAGTAGGGAGTCCCCAGTCTTTGCTGTCTTCGCCCCGCCCCCGCCCGACACCCCCCCTTGCCCGCTGTCCCCGACCTGGCTCTGGTTCTCGTCGTCCCTGGAGCTCTCTCTCTTGCCATTCAGCTACGCCCCGGCCTCCAGTCCCAGGCCGCAATCCCAAGGCCTCCTCTGCTCCAGAATCATTTTCGATTCTGCCCCCGGGGCTATTCAAACCTCCGACGCCGGATCGCGGAAATTACCTCACAGCTTAGACAACCCCCCCCCCCTTCCCCCACTCCCCCGGCCAGTCAATTTCGCCCCGCCCTGCCAAGCCCAGCCCTCCCTCTCCCTCCCCAGGCCTCCCCAGCCTTCCCCAGGCCTCCCCAGTCCTCCCTATGCTCTGCATCCCCCCATCCGGAGCCACTCCCAGTCCAGGCTCCTCCTCCATTCGTCTTCCCCCTCCTCTACCCCCTCAGCTTCTCTGCTCCACCTTTCCCCTTCACCCCAGGCTCCGCCTCCTCCACCCCATTCCCGCCCCTTCCCACCCCCAGCATCTTCACACCACCTTCTAGTTAGGTGGAGTTTTTAATGTTGACAGTTTGCATCACACACACATTCACACACTCGTAGTGGCCATCTTCTCCCATAAGCTCTATGTGTGTTTGCCTCACACACAGATCCACCCTCTCTCATAAGCTGTATGACTGTCAGACACTAAAACACATTCAATCGGTAAACTCTCAGTACATACAAGTACCACTCTCTCCTAGTGTCTAGCACAGTGCTCCGCAAACAGGCTCTCTCTCTCTCTCTCTCTCTCTCTCTCTTTCTCTCCCCCCCCCCGTGTGTGTGTGTGTGTGTGTGTGTGTGTGTGTGTGTGTGTGTGTGTGTGTTTATTGACTCAGAGAAAAAAATATGCTCGGGCAGGCCCTCTCTTCCACAGACTGGCTATTTCAAGAACAAGGCTACTACATCTTCACAGGTTGACACATTCAAACTTAGGAGTCTTACAGGTCAACTTTGCATTCCTTTTGACTCTTGAAATCCCTATGTCATTGGCAGCACCAAACATCTGATTCATCTTGGATTCTGCCTTTAACTTCAACTCTATTATCACCAAATGCTTTCTGTCTTGGACTCTGTAGGATTCCTCCCCCTCCCCTGATCCATATTCATCCCTAACAGCCAAACTTCTTTGATCATAGATGGATAGCAAACTCACTGCTTACTCCCGGCTTTCATGCCTCTCAACTTGATTTACTGCAATTTTCCTAACAGTGCTCCACATTTCCAATCTCTCTCTCTCTCTGGAATCTATTTATTTTTAAGAATCTATTTTAGCAGGCAGTTAGACAAAGATGTGCATATTAGGTGTGCAAACTGACACATGCTGGGGTGGGGGGAAGCATCACCATTGACCCTTCCATTTCCAAGGGAGATAGCTTAGTCTGTGCCAGTATTTTCCCTTCAGCAGAAGGTCCCATAGCCATGCTTTTCCCAAGGCATGATGGCACCTCCCTGCTCCACACACACTGAGTTGGTCCATGATCTCTCTATGCCTATACAACCAAATTGGTTTTCCTATAATGTCAATAAAATTATGTCTTTCCTCTGCTTAGCCCACAAGATAGACTCCAAAATCATTAGGCTGGCATTCCAAGGTCTTCACAATTTGGCCCCAGTCTACCTTTTCAGCCTTCTCTTTTGCTTCGCTTCTGTTCAGGGCCCCAAAGAAACACCAAGCACATTTTCTCAACAGTTGTTTTGATCACCCTTTTCAAGTATCTGGAATTCACTTCTTCTCTCCATCTATTCAAATCCTAAGTTATCCTTCAAATTCCACTTCTTTTTCCAAACCTTCTCTGACTACCCAGATCTTCTGTGTTCTTTGCCAAATTCTGCCACCACCCCACAACTTCCCACAGACACACAACCCCACCTTCACGATGCTAAGACTTATGATAGTAGGGGTATGTAACTCCACCAGACCTCCAAAGGGGAGTCCTTGGATATTTTTGTTGCTTTCTCTGCAGGAGCGGAAACCAAACTAAGAGTAACTGGCCGTTTGAAGATTTTAAGTTCTTGTGTGAAGATTTGAACTTTACATTTTACATTTAGGCAAAATGTCTAAGGAAGGACAATGTTACATTTTCTTAAAAGATTCTGTAAGGAAGTCATGGAAAGAGCAATGCACTTTAAGTAAGAAGACCTGAATTCAGAGCACTGATTGAAGCCGCCCTCCGACTTCAACCACGTTTCTTTGCTCTGTAGTGAAGCTAAGGGTGTCAGGGAGGGGTTCACCAAGGGAACTACATTCTGAGTGAGCGCTAACGGTGCGCTACAGTTCCCAAAACATCCACTCAAATTTGGAAAGGAAGGCTTTATTGTAGAGTCCCCAATAATAGGGGAAACTAAGGCACCCCTGCTTCGTGGAATGACTGGGGAAGAGGTTTTTAAAAATCACACACACAAAAAGCATGTATTAAGCGTTAGTTTAGACTTGGACCTATAGAGGCAGTCTTAAGTCCTAGGCTTTACCTAGTTTGAGAAAAGAACCGAGAATGAGACTGGGACAGGCTGACAGCCAAAAGGAAGGGCTAAACCAGGTCGTGAGTAGATAGGAAAGACTTACGTCAGATGAGTTTGTTGATTGTGGGTTTTGGTTTTTTTTTTTGAGACTGGGGAAGGGGGTGTTTTGGGTGGGAGAAGGGGAGGCCTGGAAAAGTACTACATTGAATCGAAGAGAGGGACGGGGACACCCCCCCCCCCCCCGCAGGCCTGAAAGGGATGATCGGATTAGATCAAGCTAGCCCTATGGGCCCAAGAATAGGCGGGGAGGGGAGGGGTGGCCGGGGGAGTGGAGGGGTTGTTGAAAAAAAAAAAAACCTCCAAGATAACGAAGAGTTTCGGTTTTCATTTTCGAACGTCACTGAGGGGGCTGGAGAAGGGGCGGGAGAGGTGGTGGTGAGGTAACTGTGGCAGGGGCGGGCCTGGTCTGTTTACCGACTCTACAAAGCCGGGTTGGAACCACCCGATTTGCGGTCTCTAGAGACGTTGCTTTTCCTGTGTTGCAAGTGAGAAAAACAAAGCCGGGCCCACTGGGGATGGCACGGTTATTACCTCGAGCCTTCACTAGGACAACATCCCCATCCCGTGGCGGGACTTTCCTAGTCCTGGCCAGCTCCAGGATAAGGCTTACAGCACTTCGATCACTCATACAAGGCTTGCTCATTTTGGGGACGAAAAAGTAAAAGTAAAAAAAACTTCCCTCCTTTCCAAGCAAGCAATATCAATTTAGTTTGCCAAACATTCCGGTCCTCACCGTCGTTTCCTCTTTAGCTCCCTGCAATCTGGCATCTTCCCTTGGGTCCTGTTCCTAATATTATTGTATTTGACCTTAACAAGTCTATGATTGTTACTATCCCAATTTTACAGATTAGGAAACGGTCTGAGAACGGTTAAGTGATTTGCCCAGAACTTCGTAGTTAGAAAGTGAGTGAGGCTGGATTTGAACCAAGGACTTCCTAACTCCCGATTTAACACTCTATCTACTTGCACCATATTCAAACAAAGAAATATAGCGTAACTGTTATCCAAATTATAATATGTGGTTGAATTGGCAGCCCATTGAGTCCATCCAATAAGTCCATCAGTATAGGTATCTTTCCTAGGTACAGCAGACGGACAATGAGATAGGCTAAAACTTAATAAAAGGAACAGAACAGACTAGATCCCACTTGGAAAATTGTACAGTGCTATGAACAATTCCAAGCTGTTCCTTGACCTAGAAACCCATCTTTTAAAAAAAAGTGTGTGTATGTATGTATATGTATATGTGTGCATACAAACACACACATGCACACATATATATATGTGTGCATGTGTTCTCCCCCATGTTATATACCTATGAATGGATGAACACAATAATTTCTGAGGAATCAAAAATGTGGGTTATCAAAAGATCAATGGAAGCTGGTATGCTGGACAGAAAAGTGCAGTATTTCACCAATGATGATTCCCATGCAAAAAGTAGTATAAAAATGCATGGTCACAAAAGGGTGTCAAGACCCAGAGAAATCAATGAACAGTCTAAATGATTCAATGTTATCTCCAGAATGTGGACTGGTCTAAAGAAGGACTCCGAGAGCAAGGAATAGTTTACCTGTCAGATTTATGGAGAACAGAAGAATTCATGAGCAAATAGGAGATAGAGAACATTATGAAATGCAAATTGAATAATTTTGATTACATTAAATTGAAAAGTTTTTGCACAAACAAAGCCAATGCAACCAAGATTAGGAGGGAAGTAGAAAATTAGGAAACCAGTTTTCAGACAACCAGTGTCTCTGATAAGGGCCTCATTTCTAAAATATATAGAGAATTAAGTCAAATTTATAAGAATACAAGTCATTCCCCAATTGATAAATGGTCAAAGGATGTGAACAGGCAGTTCTCAGATGAAGAAATTAAAGCCATCTATAGTCATATGAAAAAATGCTCTAAATCACTATTGATTAGAGAAATGCAAATCAAAACAACTCTGAGGTACCACATCACACCTATCAGATTGATCAACATGACAAAACAGGAAAATGATAAATGTTGGAGAAGATGTGAGAAAATTGGAACACTAATGCATTGTTGGTGGAGTTGTGAAATGATTCAACCATTTTGGAGAGCAAGTTGAAACTATGCCCAAAGGGCTATAAAAATGTGCATCCCCTTTGACCCAGCAATAACACTTCTAGGCTATATCCCCAAGAGATCATAAAAATGGGAAAAGGACCCACATGTACAGAAATATTTATAGCAGCTCTTTTTGTGGTGGCAAAGAATTGGAAATTGAAGGGATGCCATCAATTGGGGAATGGCTGAACAAGTGGTGGTATATGAATATAATGGAATATTATTGTACTATAAGAAATGATGAGCAGACGGACTTTAGAAAAACCTGGAAAGATTTGTATGGTCTGATGCTGAGTGAAGTAAGCAGAACCAGGAGAACGTTGTGCACAGTAGCAGTCATGTTGTGCGATGACTAACTTTGATAGACTTAGCCCTTTTCAGCAATGCCAGGATCTAAGACATCTCCAAAGGTCTCATGATGGAAAAGGCTATTCACAAAGAAGAACGAACTATGGAGTTTGAATGCAGATCGAAGCATACTATTTGCTATTTTTTTCTTTTGTTTTGTTTCCTCTTTCTGGTGGTTCCTCCTATCGGTTCTAATTCTTCCTTACAACATGAC